GGAAAAATCTGCGTGTTTCGAGCGTTATCCATTCTCTCATAATCCGATTTCGAATTGTGATTGGCAGAAGCTTTTCCGGTTCGCGCCTCACTTTTTTTTACAGCAGCGGACCACAACGATCTTCTAACACATGGATTTTCTGCATCCTGATCACAGGACGTGTGACGTACCTGGATGAAGATCGGCTTTAGAGCTGGGATGTTTGTTCTCACGGTGCGGGGGCTCGTTCCGACGCCCACACAGTTAAAAACTGGCAGTGAACGATTGGATTTAAAATGATGACTTTTGTCGTCAATGGCAGTGAATGAGTTAAACATTTTTCTTTCATGCCTCCTAACAATGTTCTAACCAAGTAAAGCTATAAATATATTGTGGAGATTGAAAATGAAAACAAAATAAATTTAATTCATAAAGTGGTTCTGTCACATTCGTCTAAAATTCTCCACCAATAATACACAACCATTGGACCATCCGGTTGTCGTTCTTGCCGCCACACCTACCTGGGTCCTCCACTCATAACGTGCTTTAGTAGCAGAACACCACTGGTGTGAGAGGTTCTTTGCTTAATAATATCAAAGAAGGAAAAACAGTCAGCTGCTACCTCTTCAACTTTAGGACAAACTACTAATGTCACAAAACTAAAAACACCCTTTCTGGGCACGTCCATCTTGGAGGAGACCCAAGAGAAGACATAGTTTCTCCAGGACACGCTGGCCAGGGAACGCCTTGGGATTCCTCCGGAGGAACTGGCCCAAGTAGCTGGGGAGAGGGAAGTCTGGGCCTCTCTGCTTGGGCTGCTGCCCCGTCACCCGACTCCAGATAAGCGGTTGAACAAGGATGGATGGATGGAAATTATAAATGTTGTTTTAAGTTGGGAGTAATCTACATTTGTTACTGGCCTCACTGTGACTAGTTGTTAGCTTGTCTGTCCACTCAGAACTAATCTCTCTTTCTCTGTACTGCGGTTGTTCTAAAAGCCGTTGACAACAGGTCACATCATCCACTCTGAAGTTGGTGCTCTACAGCTGATGGATCAACATGAAGCAAGAAAGCTGGAGCACTCAGCTGATTATTAGAGTATTGTTTTAGACGTAAATTATGTCTCCCCACCATACGTGTCTTGGTCAGAGTTGCCGTGTGGTGTAGAAACTTTAGTGGTAGTTTGCCCCCTTGCTTCATAGCATGCTGTTCGTTTACATTTTTTATAGGAGGTGGGAAGTTGGTGACTTTAAAACTTCCCACTGTGGCGTGTTAAAAGCAGTTCCTGTTTCTAGCTGTGATTCATTGTTCTAAACATGAAAAACAAAACAGTGTCACTGGAAATGTATACATTATTTTAATGGTAACACTTTACAATAAGGGTTCCTTTATTAACACTACTTCGTGCAACATTATCAACATTAATATTACGCAGTTGTTTAATACTTAATTTTTCCTGAGCAAGCAAAACCTCCCAATTCTGCCTTTCACTGGATCCACTGATTATCTCTTTCTTATTCATTTTCTCTTTCCTCACATTTCTTTTATCACAATTGTTTATTTCTCCTGATTTTATATTTTTTAATCATTTTTTTTTATTTTGGTTCTTGTGAAGCGCCTCGTGATTTTTATCTTGAGAGGCGCAAGATCGTTTCTTCTTCAAATAGTTTATTAATGCTAATTATTTTAAAGTGTCACCACTTTTATTTATTCATTTATTTATTGATTGATTCATTCAGATGGTTGATTGGTTAGTTGGTTGACTAGTTAGAGCTGCATTTAGTGGCAAACCACCAAGTTTGAAGCTTAAAATTCAAATTCTTACATGACTAGTTTGATTTACTCTCTACGTGTGCCAGATGGCATATTATATAGGTTACAAATATATACAGAAAATCACATTTTTACCACAATTTACCAAATAAATTATTATAAAAAATGAAAATGTAATTTAAAAAATAATCTAAGCTGGACGTACATTAGTTAAGGGCATAGGTGCATCACTATAACCACTGAATCAGTACTAGTATGTCAAAGATGTTAGCAACTATGACTGCCACTTTACATGGAGATTACATTTTCCTGAGTGTTCTGACAATTCCTCTTTGTTGTTGTTTCATGAAACTGTAAACCTTTGTTTCTCTCGTTGAGCTAAAAGCTGTTGTGTTAGTCGTGTTGTGGTTTTAGAGGTTTGCCTGATTCCCGCTTGTGGACGACAGATCCAGACCAGCAGGTATCACATTTCAATTCAGCTAGAGCAGCAGCATCGTTTGTGTGCACGCACGCTGTTTGATACCAGCAGTTGTATCAAGGATGCACAGGATGCAGACAGCAAACAAATCTTAAAATCCCTACTTCTGCTGAAGGTTATTTACAAATAGAAAACAGTATGTCTCCATTGTGTCTTTACAGACTGTCTCACCACCCTGCGTATAGCCTTGGCAGGCGTTTTGAAGGTCTGACAGAGAGCAGGCGTCTCGCCTCAATGGAGAGTAGAGAAATCTGTCAAGAGTCAGGCTGACCTCCAGGCAGAGAGCTCCAAAAGAGCCCAGCTGACTGAGTTCCCCTCTGGGGAACTCTTATGTTTGTGTTCTGCTTGGATCATATTTGTTTATTTTATCACTACAGGCCTAGTTTGAGTGACCTCCCTGGCTCAAGAATGTAAGATAACCTTTAAGGTGTGGGATGGTTTAAGGAGTTTGTGTCCGTAAGCATCTTGCACACGGAGGGGTCATTGGCAGATTCCAGGAAATCCTTTGCTCTTTTAAGGAATGCTTTCTGCAGCTGACTCTGGTATGTGACCTCACCGACAAAAGGCAAGAAAACGGCTACATTCTTTAAGAAATGCCCAAGATAGTGCCAGAAAATAAAGTTCCTAAAATGCAACAAGCATGTGCAGAAAGCGTTAAACCTGTTTTGATGTTTTTCAAGTCCGTCTGTTTCTGTGTTACAATGGTTTTCAAAAAGGAAAACATTATAAATAAGAAATTTTAATGCACTCTTTGCACATCTTGGTTGGGTTTCCAGCAAATGTATCTGGATCCAGCGGATATGGATTCATTCCTCCTTTTGTGGGTCTCACATAGGCTTTGATTTTTCATCCTTTTCACTACCTTTTATCGTTTCCTGGAATATTTGCCAGAGGACAAACGAAGAAATATGTAAAGAGGACTTTCATCATTGTTTCTGTCATTAGAGCTCATTATGAAGACAGACTTGCGTCAGAGACCTAAATCATGTGGCTGATGTTGAGTAATATCTGCCTCGATCTGGGGCTGCAATTCAAGATTAGATAAAAGTTATATATTTTTTAACTTTTTACTCAGGAAATAGCCAGCAGTAAGAAAAAAACAGGATAAAAGAGAATGTAGAAGGAGATGTGCCGAGAATGAAGAACAACAAACACAATTGGATGCAAAAGGGAGAAATGCAACACAGTGAACATACTAAAAGAAGTTTAGGACAATTTGGAAAAAAAACATGCTTGCAATGAATGGATTTATGTAAGTTGGGAGAAATAGATCAATAGAAAAATAGAAGAAATCGAACACTTAAATGGAAATCATATAAAAGCAGGAAACAAGAATAGGGGCAATGGTGGGGAGGCAACAAGTTGGCATAAAAAACAGAAAGATGTACATCGGGGAGACACGCTGACTGTTTAATGTACACATGTAAAATCTTATTCAGATGAGAAAAATTAGAGTTGTGGTTTCTCCCCCAAAACAGCATTCTTTAAATGAAGCTGAATCACCATGTTTCAGTTGCCAAAAGGAGCAAGAGATGTTGGCAGCCCAACATGTTTGAAGGATTCACCCCCCCCCCCCCCCCCCCCCCCCCCCCCCCCCGATTGAGCTATTCTGACAGAAGATCTCTACACACACACATTCTCCACAAGTTTACAAACACTGTTGTTCACAGTGGGAGGGATTTTTCATGAGCTTGTCAAGAAATGCCTTAAAATTTCAAATCTGTTTAAATACTCTTGAGTTTGGGAAGTTTACGTTAACTGATCTAAAAATATCTGTTAATACCTTACGGAGACATCCAACCAATATGGCATGCCGTTCTGAACTGATAAATCTGTTTAAAAGAGGAAAACTTTGTGTTTTCACATTCAAACTGAATTCAGAATGGCTGCTAGTGCTTTAAATTAGTTTCATTTTGGAGATACAGTGTTTTCCCAACTCTAATCTAACCTTCTGCTTCAGCACACATGATTTACATTGGCTCCTCAGGAGGACATCAAGTGTTGCAGATGCCAGTTAATCACTCATTCATTTAAGTCAGGTGTGTGGAAGCAGAGACACTGATGTTTGAAAGGGCAACATGGAAAACACCCAGGACAGTGGTCCCTGATGACCAGGGTTGGGAAACACTGTTTTAAAGCAGACCTTGCTCTAACATCTCACCCTCTGCTCGTGGTCTCATCCTTCCAAGCTTGGGTCTTCTACCAGAGGCCTGGGAGCTTGAAGGTTTTGCTGTATCAGCTGTTCCTAGAGCTGCTCTTTTCTGGCCTGAGATGTCTGATGTTTTTCCCTGGGATCTGCACTCCTACAGTTTGGGGGTTACTGCCACACCAACCACAATGGCTGTCCTCTGTTGTTTGCACACCACCACCCACCTTGCCCCATTTATATATATATATATATATATATATATATATATATATATATATATATATATATATATATATATATATATATATATATATATATATATATATATATATATATACTCATACTCTGAACAGCTGCTTCTTTTCCTGTAGTTAAAGACATTTCTAGTCTCAGTATCAGGTTACGTTTGATGCTTGTCCAGCTCAATGATTTGTGCAATTATTGTAATTTAAAGGCCTGTAATGTTGGTGCTTTCTGTGGGTGGGCGGCTGTGATTAAATGCATCTGTCTCAGCTGTCATTGTGAGCGAACCGCCTCATCCCTTCTTTGGGTATGTTTTTGCTTTCTTTTTTATGCTGATGTATTTTATTTTTTTTTTCTCTTTGTGCACTCCCTCTGCAGTTTTGGCAGGCAGCTGGGGGGCAGGCGCGGCTGTGAATGCATCACTTTGGAGCCCTCAGAAATGATTGTGGTGAGTTCACACGTTTTTTTTCTCTCTCTCCTTGTTCTAAACTTGTACTTGCTCCCAGACGGCCCTTTGAAATTAGTCCTGTTTTTCATCTTTATTTGATGTTTCATTCTTTTGCACGCTTTATTCCAATTCTGTACATCTTATCCTCACTTTTATATCACTCCTTCTCCCCCGTCTTGCTTTCCAGTTTTATATTGATGCACTTTTCAAATGTTTTGTTCATGAGGCTCTTTGTAATGTTGCATTTATTTTTCATTATTGCTAATAATCGTCCACTTGCTTTCTCCTCTATTTTGCTTTTTATAATACAACAGGGAACAAATCACAAATTCTGTGAGGAGAAACTTCCCGTTAGAGCTTTTTTGCATGAATAAAACCTGGGCAAGAGTTTGAGTTTTCCACCTGTAAGATCTGATTAAATGGCAAATGATCTGTATTTGTATAGCACCTTCTTAGGCTTCCAGGATACCCAGCTACCTGGGGCTCACTGACTGAAGCAAGACTGCCGAACACTGGTGCCACCATTTTCTCTGACCACGAACATTAGGCGAAATGGGCTAAGTGACTTGCCCAAGGACACAACAGCAGCATTCCCTGGATTGAACCGACAACCCTCTGATTGTTAGACAACTCGCTCTACCTCCTGAGCTACTGTTGCCCTGATTGGATACCTTAGAGAGAATAGAAAAAAGTGCAGCGTAAAAGTATGGTGGAAATAGCTAGAATAGAAGTAATACATTTAAGAAACTGTTGCATAATTTTTCCCTTCAGCTAAGTGGTCATAAATTCTTAATGTGCCAGAGCTACTGGATGCTAACCACTTGTATCTGGGGATGTATGAAAATATCAACACACTCAAATATTGCAATATCTTATTATGATACTGATTTGCTATTTAAAAGCAGTGTATCTTTTTTTTAAATTCAGAATTACATGGACACATTTTCTATATTTCTTTTGTGTGGTGCAATTTAAACTCCCAACTGCTAGGTGGCAGTAGTTTCTACCGCCTTCATTCTGACAGAAGAGATCTCACAATATCACTGGACATGTCTCGGAAGCACCCGGCTTGAGTTTTCAAATTAATTTCAGTCCTTTATTATCTCAATTTATCAAGTTATTCTCAGAACTTTCTTTTTTCAAATGATCCATAGTGATGTGAAAGCTTTTATATAGATGCATTTCGAAGAAACCTTTTAACATTTCTGTTATTTTATCTTTAAAACGAGCTGTTGTTACTCTAGCCTGGGGGAAAGTGATGAAACTCTGTTATTAGATGGACTGTCACCTTGTGTACATAAAGCTGAGGCAACAAAGTGTAAGGCTTGCATGGAAGCAATGGAAATGCCAGTTTTCCTTCCTGTCGCTCTTAAATAATAATGAAAGTATTCCTATTACGTGCCTGTGTTGTGTCTCAAATGGGAGAAGTAGCCTCATTTACAGGAAGTCACGTTTCCTTTCAAGTTAACAAACAGATACCACCAGAATGTCTTAGACGTTTGGATGTTTTTTATTTATGGTATTTAACGTTTATTTAGCCGGGAAGAAAATCCCCTTGAGATTAAAAAATCTCTTTCAAGGGAGACCTCGGGTGTTTCTCAATGTCAAGGCGCCTGGCCTCGCAAGGCGATGTCTTGCGAGGCCAGGCGCCTTGCTTGCAAGGACACTGTCCTTCCTTGGTTAAAGAAAACGGTTAAATGCAATAGACTTGCATCACGTGAGATGGAAGATAATGTTATATTTTATACGTAAGTTTCAATATAAATATATAACGAGCCTTTTACTTTTTAAATTGTGTATATGAATGTTAAATATGTAAGCGAGTTACTACCTTGGAACCGCTAAGCAACTAACCAACCATAGATTTAAATATTAACAAAACATTTCAGATAGCAACCCAATAGCTACGATTAGTTGACTTACATTTAAACTTGAAATTTTCCCCCATAGTAGCTGCCGGCTTCTGATCCTTATGAAAATACCGTGGTGCATTCTGGGAAATATTTGACCAAGGCTAGGTTACAAGACACCCGCCATGTATCCTTGCTCAGCTAGCTAAGCAGCTAACAAACAGAGAAAAGACAGTAGAACATGAACATTGGAACACGTCTTGGTGGTTCCTGATGACGTATCTCCTAGGCAACTGGGGCGGGACCAAGACATCAAGGCGAGGTTCCTTGGCATTAAAAAACACCCGGTGTCAAGATGGGCAGCGGCAAGCATCACACAAAGTTATCGAGAAAACGTTACACAGTTAAACACATGTATAAACATCACAAAGCATAGTAAAAAAATAACTAACTTTAATAGCTTTACTCAACTGGATTAGGATTAATGTGTCATGTCTGATGGGCTGTATAGACTCATCTTTGGCAGGAACTGTTGCTGCTAAAATAGCTTGTTCTTCAGACTCACTAATGTATGAATTGTCACGTTTACACAAAGGTGTTCCTTGTCATGAGCTGTTTTTTCTCCTTTTGTGCCTATGGTGCTATTACTTTTCTTCCTTTTAAGTGTTTGACTTACAGCAGATTAGGGGCTCGTAAATGATGTTTTTATTAAAAAGTGATGTCACTAGGGCTGCAACAAACGATTATTTGGATAATCGATTAATCGGATGGGGTCTCGACACGATTAATCGATTAATCGGATTACATGGGGAAATTTTTAAAAACTGCTAGGGAAACGTTGTTTCTCTCCTTCCTTCACTTTATTTAACACAACATTATTAGAAAACAGTTCAATAGCAGAAAAACAACATGCCATCACCTAAATTGTCTTATAAGGTGTATAGACAGAGACCCTAAGCTACATCTATCTGTGACCTAAAATGCTTGGTCCAAGTTAAACAGCTTAAGGGCAATTCTCATCTGTTTTATTTGATCTAATCTGTTGACATATATTTTAAATGTAATTAAACATAGGCTGTGAATTAATCAAAATTGATCACTATTTCCAAAAATGACTGAAAAAATACCAAATAAAACAAAAGTAAATGAATGCCATCCTCCTTGTGATGATGCCCTGGGCAACTGCCATAAAGTCACATCAAGAAATGCTGCTGATCATTCCAATGATCCCAAATAGACTCACATTAGGCCACATGAAAGCAACTGAACCCAAAAATATATTAACCAGTATATAACTGCACTCTCACACAACACGCCTGCAGCAACAGTTAGGACTCCTCCCTCCCTTTTAAAAGCGTTTTTGCTTCTGAGGACATTGTGGTTGTAAAACCACATGCTAGTAGTCTGGCCCCGGTGTGATCAACCAGTTTCTGCGGGAATGTGACGGCGGAACCAGGGCCAGATTAACACTTTGTTGTACCCTGGGCAACAATATTCAAGGGCTCCATCATCACGACCCGAGGATCACCATAATGTGGTCACATACAGAATATTTTACTGTAATATGCAGTAAATATACTCAATACTTGAATGCCTGACAACACGTAACCCGCCCAGAGTAACCTTTGACCCACCTCGTGTGGACTGACCAATGAGGAGAGGGTCTTAACTTGAGGCCCTCTCTTCATTGGTCATTCTGCATGAGACTGACTCTCAACTGACGTTCAGTCGTAGGCAGCGAAGCGTCTCTGTGCAGCGCAAAAGCCCGGGTGGACAGTTTGTTTAATGTAGGGTGACCATATTTCCATTTCCAAACAAGAGGACAGGGGATCTGTGCCTATGACGTCACACTATGGCAACGCCACACAAACCATGTTGGGACCCATTTTTTGTAAGAACTAAATTAATATCAGATTCTGCCAATTAAAGGGCTCTAAAACAATTCATATATAAATATTTAGCATATTTAATGCAAAATCAAATTTTTCTGCTTTAGTTCTGCAACAAGGTTTTATTAATAATAAATTATTATACCTTTTGTTTTACTACAGCATTGGTACGCTTCCTGTGCACAGATGATTAAGGATGCTTGTTTCAGCTGTGAGATTAGACGATAGGATCAATGAAAAAATAACTAGTCACACACTCCATGGAAACTTTCAGAGAATCCACAAATAGTGGCTTTCAAATGGTTTTGTTACTTTTTGCAAGTTTATAAAAGAAGCAGATGAGACAGCATGTCTGATAATTTAGTTTTTCATCTGATAATATTAGAACATGTCAGTAATGTCTGAGGGGCTTTTATAAACACCATATAACTAACACTACTGGAGAGGGCATGAATTACACAGAGGCTTCTGGGGAGCCCAGTTATTGGGGGGGGGGGGGGGGGTCATTTTGCCTTGGCCCCTAAAATGTCTTGAAACGGCCCTGGGTGTGTGACTGAGTTTTGAAGGTGATCTGAATTGTATCAGATGTATAAATATGACATGTGTATAACTTATTGTTTTTTACTGGTAAAAACGTGTAGTGGTGATAAATCTACCTACATTTTACTTTTCAACACTTTGTTTTCAACGCTTTGTTTCACTTTCAGCGCTTTGGGCTTCCTGACAGGGTTGCGGAAGGCGCTTTATAAATAAAGCTTTGATTGATTGATTGATTGATTTTTTGTTTTTATTGAACTATTTTCCTGTCCTGTCTGTCTCTCATCTTCCTGCATCTCCTCTTAATTCTCCAGAAAATCTGTTGCCTGGATTCTTACCTTTTCACCTCATCAGTTACTTTTGAGCAGATCAAAGGGATCTCCTGACCGAAAAGCGCAGAGCGCGTTTTCGATGCTGCGTGAGGTGACATCACCACAGCACAGGTGATGAGCTCCGCAGTAGCGAGCTTCAGGCACAAATAAGACAGAAAATAGAGAAGATGTGCAGACAAGAACGATCGTGTGCTAATTATAGTTTTTTGGTTGCGCCACTTTGAGAATGGACCGTGCGCTGGAAGCAGCTGCCTGGATCGCTGTGCAACAATGCGGAACCGGTTCGCAGCAGCGCAAGTCTGCCGGCTCTCCCTCGCGCTGATCTGCCGCTACCGGCTCTCCCTCACGCTGATCTGCGGCTCTCCCTTGCGCTGATCTGCGGCTCTCCCTCG